ACATTAGGCTGTTAGAGTAGGACCTGCCAAAGATGGAGTACATTGACGTTGTGGCAGGCTTATGCAATGTATGCTCATATAATTTAACTAAATCCCCATTATTTTTGCCTAGATTAGGAGTTTTTAAAAAAACTAATCAAATCTGTCAACATTGAAGTTGCTGTTTAGTAGATGCACTAGATTTTGAGCAATGTAAATACTGCCATTTCTCAGAAAACCCAATGTTTACACTACAGAGGCAGTTTAGAAGACTCATTAAACGGTGTGGTTATAGTGCTTCCAGTGTCCCTTTAAAAAAGGATTATTATATCAATGTTTTCATGAGAACACCCAACACATTGCACAGTGATATGAAGAGACTTCCTACAGGGGAATATCACACCGGGACTTAGAAATCTGTAAATGTTACATAAAATAATATAATTATATAATATAAAATAATAAACTATAGGGAGAATGAATTGTATAATGCATCAGTAATTCATTCCAACTTTTAGATTTAAATTTATATTTCTGTCTTAGCTAATTCTTGAGTTTTTTGTAAAATGGCACAGTGACATTCCATGCAGACAGATATCCAATACTGGGAATCTAACCCTCAATAATATAGCTATCATAAAACAAGCTTGCATTTATAAAAAAATTGGGCGTTTTTTTGTAGCCAGTTAGAGACATCTCTGAAATATACGTTCTGCCTAATAGGGAATCACTGGGCTACTGAGACAACTCATGGACATTGTCTAGAAAAAAATAAGACACAGAGAGAGGAAGGACAGGCGATAGGAAGATAGGATGGAGGGAGGCGAGAAGGAAGATAGGGTGGAGGGAGGCAAGAAGGAAGATAGGGTGGAGGGAGGCAAGAAGGAAGATAGGATGGAGGGAGGCGAGAAGGAAGATAGGGTGGAGGGAGGCAAGAAGGAAGATAGGGTGGAGGGAGATGATAGGAAGATAGGATGGAGGGAGATTATAGGATGGGGAGGCAGGAAGGAAGAGGATGGGGAGGCAGAAAGGAAGAGGATGGGGAGGCAGGAAGGAAGAGGATGGAGGGAGGCGAGAAGGAAGATAGGGTGGAGGGAGATGATAGGATGGAAGGGAGATGAGAAGGAAGATGGGATGGAGGGAGGTGAGATGGAAGATGGGATGGAGGGAGGTGAGATGGAAGATAGGGTGGAGGGAGATGATAGGATGGAGGGAGGCGAGATGGAAGATAGGATGGAGGGAGGCGAGAAGGAAGATAGGATGGAGGGAGGCGAGAAGGAAGATAGGATGGAGGGAGATGATAGGATAGAGGGAGGCGAGACGGAAGATAGGATGGAGGGAGGCGAGAAGGAAGATAGGATGGAGGGAGGCGAGAAGGAAGATAGGATGGAGGGAGATGATAGGATAGAGGGAGGCGAGACGGAAGATAGGATGGAGGGAGGCGAGAAGGAAGATAGGGTGGAGGGAGATGATAGGGTGGAGGGAGATGATAGGAAGATAGGATGGAGGGAGGTGATAGGATGGGGGAGGCAGGAAGGAAGAGGGAGGCAGAAAGGAAGAGGATGGGGGAGGCAGGAAGGAAGAGGATGGAGGGAGGCGAGAAGGAAGACAGGGTGCAGGGAGATGATAGGGTGGAGGGAGGCGAGACGTAAGATAGGATGGAGGGAGGCGAGAAGGACGATAGGGTGGAGGGAGATGATGGGGTGGAGGGAGATGATAGGGTGGAGGGAGATGATAGGGTGGAGGGAGGCGAGAAGGAAGATAGGATGGAGGGAGGCGAGAAGGAAGATAGGATGGAGGGAGATGATAGGATGGAGGGAGGCGAGAAGGAAGATAGGATGGAGGGAGGCGAGAAGGAAGATAGGATGGAGGGAGATGATAGGATGGAGGGAGGTGAGAAGGAAGATAGGATGGAGGGAGGCGAGAAGGAAGATAGGATGGAGGGGGCGAGAAGGAAGATAGGATGGAGGGAGATGATAGGATAGAGGGAGGCGAGACGGAAGATAGGATGGAGGGAGGCGAGAAGGAAGATGGGGTGGAGGGAGATGATAGGGAGAGCAGGAGGAAGAGGAGGCAGAAAGGAAGAGGATGGGGAGGTGGGAAGGAAGATAGGGTGCAGGAGATGATAGGATGGAGGGCGAGATGTAAAAGATAGGATGGAGAGAAAGGAAGATAGGGTGGAGGAGATGATAGGATTGAGGTGAGATGGAAGATGAATGGAGGGAGATGGAAAGATGGGGTGGAGGGAGACGATAGGTGGAGAGTGTTAGGGTGGAGGCGAAAGGGTGGAGGGCGAGAAGGAAAGTGGATGGAGGAGGCGAGAGGAAGATAGGATGGAGGAGATGATACGTGGAAGGCGAGAAGGAAGATAGGATGGAGGGAGATGATGGGATGGAGGGCTTGAGGAAGATAGGGTGGAGGGAGATGTTAGGATGGAGGGAGGCAGGAAGATTAGTAAATGAGATGTGGAAAGGAATGTGAGGAACTTAGATGGAGAGAGGATAAAAGATGAGGAATAAAGAGGAGATGTTATATATGCAAGGGGTATTTTCAATGGAGTCATATCAAGCCAATTAGTGGACCTTAGTTACATCTGATTAGAAGTGCACAGGAATGGAACAAATATGGCTGACATGTAATATCTGTGGACATGGAATAACTAGGGACGTGGAATAACTGGACATGGGAATAACTCAATATAGGGAAAAACTGGGGACATGGTGTAACTGGGGACGTGGAATAACTGGGCAAAGGAATAACTCAATATATGGAATAAGTGTGGGCATGGAATAGCTGCTCACCTTTTACAAACTCGCAGTTAAAAAAACTTGACTTCTCCACAGACTGCAGTTTGATGATGTTTTTCTCTTTTTCTTTAGTAAATTGAGTAACCTTGAATGTCTCAAAAGGTGGAATAAGCACCTCTTCCTCCCCAGGGAAGAACGAAAAGTTTCTAATCTTGACTCCATAGCAGGTTTCAATATTGAAGAAGGTGTCCTCTCCAAATAGTAATGCACTTTCATCGCTTACTGACGAAGACGTGAATTGGCCAAACCTAATTGGTTTACGTGTATCAGATTTAAATCGGACGCCCCGGGTTCCTCTGAAAACTCTGTGACAAGCAGGCGTCTCCACAGCATCCAACTCCTGGAGCGCTTTGGTAAGGTAGTAGTGGAGAACCTTAAAATTGAAGTTTTTCAAGTAATATTCTCTAGACCGTCCAGCTTCCCTCACGGCTTCGTTAAAGGACTTGTGCAACGGTCCATTTATGGTGTAAGCAAACAGGGCAATGGCATACTCATTTTTGAATCCCCGCGGTACCCTAATGTGTCTTTTTCTGTCCTCCCATTCGTAGGTAGCCTTATCCCAGGATTCAGCAAATTCCCTATTTATAGAATATTCCAGTTGGAAGAGTTTGGGAATCTCTGCCTCCATCACATCACTGCAGCCTTTATATTGATCATCGTAGGATGAAAGGGCCATGTCCAGAACTGTCTCTTTAGTCGAGAAGACATTTCTTTTGGATACTTGTTTACTATCCACCTGCAGGGTATTCAAATACAATTGGTTAAAATGTTTAATTCAGAATATATATGCAGAATATTTCATCAGCTCACAAGCCAAGTACGGTTATTCACTAAAGTGAGTATTGTCTGGAATACAAACAGTATGCAAAGTGAATTCCAAACTTAGGGTCAGAATAACTGAATTGAAAAATTCTCTAACTCATCTACACTTCCAATTCAGATATATTAATCTAAAATTCTTAGTTTAGTAAATAAATAACTGATCTAGATTCTAACTCGGGTGGTTAGCCAGAACCCTAGAATGGCTAGTTCACTATTTACAAATCTATACAAAGAAGGGGCCTAGTTCTTCCAAGTGAGTGAAGTGCCAGATTATTTCAGAGATGTTTGAGTTTCTGCTGAGTTCAGCATTGATTTAGCCAACAATTCAAGTCATCGTAGTTAAACCCTCCACATGGACTCCACGTCTTTAGCAATCAGTTGTCTGGTTTCCTGACACTAGTTGCTAATTGCCGAGTATTAGTAGCTGAAACAAGAGTTTGCTTTAATCAGAATTTTAGTTGCTAATTTCTGGCCTCTCTATTGAGAAGCAGATTAACTGGTGACACAGGTCGGGGATCCCCTCACAGACCTGTAATGTCTGGGCTGCTATTACTGTGAATGTGAGCAATAGACAAAGCTCTTCTATGAGGAGTTCACAGTGTTGGAGGGGAAATCTTTTAGCTATTCTTAATATGAAGATCTAGGTTATAACTGTAATATAGTTATGTTTTACATTCTTACCTAAAAACATAGGAAGCCACCCCTTGTCCTATATATATCGGCAACTAATAACAAATACTCAAATTAATGTCCATGAGAAAAGTACTGAAAGACACCCCATACCAAAGACTGAAAGCAGTAAATAAATAAACCACATTGGCTGAGATGGCTTATACTGATGGATACCTTCTCCCCAGATGATAAAGTCGATAAACCCAAGGAAGTTGGCAAAGATGGGATCTAAGAGGCAATATGTGAGAAGATTCTCCTATTAGGAGGCTTGTACCTTTATGGGGCAGGTAAGTGACACTGTAAATATCAGAATGGCTACGTAGATGAGACTGGATCCAGGCTTTCGGTACGACATATTTGGATATCAGTGTCTAGAAAAAAACACAAAACAATCTCAAGTTTCCAAAACAACACATCTGTCCTAATTATACCCAAGATTGAGTCGCCCAGACTGCACAGAGGCAGTTCATACATCATTAGCTCTCCTCCTACTTCTAGCAGATGGTGTTCTCTCTTCCAACCCAGGACCATTGCTCACACAAGACTTCCAGAAAACACATTATCCCAATACCCTGCAGTTTATCCTCCTCTACCAACATTCAGTGTGATATTAAATCAACAGCCATACACAACCTTTCATCTCCAATTCCCTCACACTACTAGCACTCATTGAGACTGGCTGTCTCCCTCTGATACCACTACTCCAGCTTCTTTGTTTCGGTGGACTACAATTCTCCCATACTCCCAGACTCAACTGTGAAGGAGGCGGTGTAGGCATCCTTCAGTCCCCTAAATGTACCTTTCAACCTATCCTATCTGCCCCTGCCCTATATTTTACTTCCTTTGAAGTTCACACTGTGCACCTATTTAAGTTCTTTAAGAATTGCCATCATCTATCGGCTCCCTGGTCACCATAGGCTATTTATTGAATACTTTTCTTCCTGGCTACCCCACTTTCTCTCCTCTAGCACTCCTACCCTTATACTTTAGGACTTTAACATCCCAATCAACAACCTCAACTTCCCTTATGCCTCCCGTCTGCTCTCCATAACCTCCTTCTTTGGCCTCACACAGTGAGGCTAGTGGTCTACTTCAGAAACTCATACAGCAGGAAACACTATTGATCTCATCTTTATCAATCTCTGCATTGCCACTAATCTCTCCAATGTTCCATTTCCTTTGTCTGACCTCCATCTGATGACCTTTGACATCGGCATACCCCATATCCTAATTATACCACCCTCAACTCACCATTCTTGCAGAAACCTCCACTGCCTTTACCTCCAGCAATTTTCCACTAACCTCCAAACTCTCCTTTTACCCATCTCAAATCTCACCTGCCCTTACTCTGCAACCTCACTCTATAACTCCACTCTCTCCTCTCAACTAGACATCATGGCACATCCTACAGTTAAATGCAGAAAGCACAATTACAACACACCTAGCTGACTCGATACTTCCAAAAATGTTCCAGAACTGCTGAGCGCCGCTGGAGAAAGCCTCGCTCTGCATCTGACTTACTCCACTATAAATTTATGCTGCGCTCCTACATTGTGGCTCTTTCCTCTGCAAAAGTAAACTACTTCAACACCCTCATAAGCACACTCTCCCGCAAACCCAAATGCATATTTAACACTTTAAATGCTCTTCTTCGCCCTGTTGCTCCCCCTCCTACTTCCACCTTTTCTGCCACAAACTTTGCAACTCAGTTCACTTAGAAGATTTCAACAATCAATGAAGAGATCTCCCTCACTCCACTTCCAATACATCTTCCAATACCTCCCCCAACCCCACTTCCTCTGCTGTTCTATTCAAATTTGCTTCCGCTACAGTTGAAGCGGGCTCTGCTCTGGTCCTCTTGCCCCACCACCCTTCCCTTGATCCTATTCCCTCATATCTCATCTACACTCTGTCTTCTTCTTGCTCTCCCTCTCACTAAATTTTCATTTTCTCCCTTTCCTCTGCCATGTTTTCTTCATCCTTCAAACATGCAACCATAACCCCGATTCTGAAAAAACCCAACCTTGACCACAACTCCCCACCCAACTACCACACTATCTCGTTACTGCCATTTGCCTCCAAGATCCTTGAAAGAGTTGTGTAAACAAGATTGACAGACTTCCTAAAATCCAACTCTCTGCTTTACCCACTTCATTCTGGATTCCACGCTTGTCACTGTGTCGAAACAGCTGTGACCAAAGTATTAATCGCTGGTAAATCTCGCGGTTAACACTCTATCCTAATTTTCTTTGACCTTTCTGCTGCTTTTAACACTTTTGATTATCAACAGCTTCTTCTAATCCTCCGTAATCTCGGTCTACTGAATACTGCTCTCTCCTGGTGCTCCTCCTACCTCTCCCAGTGCTTTTTTCTTTCTCTGGCTCTGCCTCTTCTTCCCAACTCCTCTCTGTTGGTGTTCCCCAAGATTCTGTCCTTGGTCCCCTACTGTTCTCGATCTATAATGCCTCCCATGGTTATCTTTGCTGGTAGTGGAGACTGGGCAGTGATGCTAAGACAGGCTGCTGGTAGTGGAGACTAGGCAGCGATTGCTAAGACAGGCCACTGGTAGTGGAGACTGGGCAGGGATTGTTAAGACAGGTAGTTGATAGTAGAGACAGGGCAGAGATTGCTAAGACAGGCCGCTGGTAGTTGAGACTAAGCAGTGATTGCTAAGGCAGGCCGTTGGTAGTGGAGACTGGGCAGCGATTGCTAAGACAGGTCGCTGGTAGTGGAGACTGGGCGGTGATTGCTAAGACAAGCCGTTGGTAGGGGAGACTGGGCAATAATTGCTATGACAAGCCTCTGGTAACAGAGACAGGGCAGTGATTGCTAAGACAGACTGCTGGTATTGGAGACTGGGCAGTGATTGCTATGACAGGCTGCTGGTAGTGGATACTGGGCAGAGATTAAAAAGACAGGCCTCTGGTAATGGAGACAGGGCTAAGACAGACCACTAGTAGTGGAGATTGGGCAGCAATTGCTAAAACAGGCTGCTGATAATGGAGATTGGGCAGCAATTTCTAAGACAGACCAATTGTAGTGGAGACTGGACAACGATTGCTAAGACAGGCTGCTGGTAGTGGAGACAGGGCAGCATTTGCTAAGACAGACCGCTGGAAGTGGAAACTGGGCAGTGTTTGCTAAGACAGGCCGCTGTTAGTGGAGACTGGGTGTGATTGCTAAGACAGACCGCTGGAAGTGGAAACTGGGCAGTGATTGCTATGACAGGCTGCTGGTACCAGCAGTGTGTCTTAGCAATCACCGCCCAGTCTCCTCTACCAGCGGCCTGTCTTAGCAATCCCTGCCCAGTCTCCACTACCAGTGGCCTGTCTTAACAATGGCTGCCCAGTCTCCACTACCAGCGGCCTGTCTTAGAAATCACTGCCCAGTCTTTACTACTAGCGGAGTTTACCAAGGGAGGCAGTATAGATTGAGAACAGTAGGGGACCAAGGACCAAACCTTGAGGACCACCAACAGAGAGGGGTTGGGTAGAAGAGGCAGAGGTAGAGAAAGAAACAATGAAAGAGCACTGGGAGAGGTAAGAGTAAACTCCCTACTGGGATTGTCTCTTAAACAATTTGTTGAGGAGCCAACTTGTAAGGAGGCCATACAAGATTTAGTGTTAACAAATGGAGATTTGGTACCAAATATTACAGTAAGATTAGGATCCAGTGATCATCAGTCAGTGTGGTTTAATATAAGAACAGTGACTGAGTCACACCACACAAAAATTTGAGACTTTAGAAAAACAGACTTTTCTAACATTAGAATATGTGTAAAGGAGTTATTATCAGACTGGAGCAATTTAATTGGAGTCCAAAAGAAATGGGATTATTTAAAAGTTGCACTGCTGAAGCCAACAGAAAATTGCATTAGGCTTGTCAGTAAAAGCAAAAAAATTAAGAAACCACTGTGGTACTCCGCAGATGTGGCCAAAATAGTAAGAAACTAAAAGTTAGCATTTAGAAATTATAAAAAAAACCAGAGTGAGGGAGACAAAATGTTCTATAAGATTAGGCAGAAAGAGGCTAAGCAAGTTATAAGAGCTTCCAAATCACACACAGAAGAGAAAATAGCACAGTCAGTAAAAAAAGGGGACAAAACATTTTTTAGATACATAAATGAGAAAAGGAAAGTAAAACAAGGATTAGTTAGATTAAAAACAAAAGAAGGAAGGTGTGTAGAAGAGGATAAAGGTCTAGCTGACTGCCTCAATTAATATTTTTGTTCAGTATTTATAGATGAAAATGAAGGAAAGGGACCTCAGTTAGGAAAAAGGACAAATGAGTCATTTGTTACATGTGAGTTTACAGAGGAAGAGGTTCTATTTCAATTGTCAAAAGTAAAGACCAATAAGTAAATGGGACCTGATGGAATATACCCAAAGTTATTAAAAGAGCTTAGTGGTGTACTAGCAAAACCATTAACAGATTTATTTAGCCAATCATTGTTAACAGGAGTAGTCCCAGAAGATTGGAAGTTAGCGAATGTTGTGCCCATTTACAAGAAAGGTAATAGGGAGGAGTCGGGCAACTATAGGCCAGTAAGCCTTACTCCAGTAGTGGGGAAAGTGATGGAAACCATGTTGAATATCTAAAATCACATAGATTTCAAGATCAGAGAAAACATGGGGTGACTTCAGGGAGATCATGCCAAACTAATCTTATTGATTTTTTTGATTAGGTAACTAAAATAATAGATCAGGGTGGTGCAGTAGACATTGCTTACCTAGATTTCAGTAAGGCCTTTGACACAGTTGCACATAGAAGGATTATCAATAAATTGCAATCTTAAAGTTTGGATTCCAATATTGTTGAATGGGTAAGGCAGTGGCTGAGTGACAGGCAACAGAGGGTTGTAGTCAATGGAGTATATTCGAAACATGGTCTTGTTACCAGCTGGGTACCTCAGGGATCTGTACTTGGACCCATTCTCCTTAATATTTTTATTAGTGATATTGCAGAAGGTCTCCATGGTAATACTGAGATATGTGACAGGGTTGATGTTCCAGGAGGGATAAGACAAATGGCAAATTATTTAGGTAAACTAGAAAAATGGTCAGAACTTTGGCAGCTGAAATTTAATGTGGATAAGTGCAAGATAATGCATCTTGGATGTGAAAACCCAAGGGCAGAGTACACAGAATATTTGATAGAGTCCTATCCTCAACATCTGAGGAAAGGGATTTAGGGGTGATTATTTCTGATGACTTAAAGGTAGGCAGACAATGTAAAAGAGCAGCAGGAAATGCTAGCAGAACGCTTGGTTGTATAGGGAGAGGTATTAGCAGTAGAAAGAGGGAAGTTCTCATGCCATTGTACAGAACACTGATGAGTCCTAATTTGGAGTATTGTACGCGGTACCGGAGACCGTATCTCTAGAAGGATATTGATAGAGTTCAGAGTTTTAGAGAGAGTTCAGAGAAGGGCAACTAATGTGGTCCATGGATTGCAGGATAAAACTTACAAGGAAAGGTTAAAGGAACTTAACATGTATAGCTTGGAGGAAAGACGAGACAGGGGGGATATGATAGTAAACATTTAAATACATAAAAGGAACCAACACAGTAAAGGAGGAGACTTTATTTAACCCCTTAAGGACACAACTTCAGAAATAAAAGGGAATCATGACGGAATATTTACGTCACAACAAGAGGACATAGTCTTAAATTAGAGGGGCAATGGTTTAAAAATAATATCAGGAAGTATTACTTTACTGAGAGGGTAGTGGATGCATGGAATATCCTTCCAGCTGAAGGGGTAGAGGTTAACACCGTGAGTGAATTTAAGCATGCGTGGGATAGGCATAAGGCTATCCTAACTATAAGATAAGGCCAGGGACTAATGAAAGTATTTTAAAAATTGGGCAGACTTGATGGGCCGAATGGTTCTCATCTACCGTCACATTCTATGTTTCTATGTTTTAGAGATGTGCATGGGGAAAATATTTGGTTCGGCATTCCGAAATTCTGGACTTCCGCAATTCGGAATTTTGGCTGCTCACTGTTTACTAGACATGCCCCTACTCGTGGTATAGCGAGTAGGGGCAGAATTTACTAATACTAAGTCATCTTTACATAGTATTAGTAAATTTGGCTGAAAGACCAATTTAGGTCCTTCAGCCATTTAGTAGATAAATCCCTAATACCGTGGGACTTAGGGAGTTATCTACTTATTCATTCCCATCCATTGACTGGCTAAGTAACTTGCATTTTATATAAATGTGTTACTTGATTGTTGTAAGTGACGCAAATGCTTACAGCTGAATCCTGGCTATGTTTGTATACTTTTTATTTAAGCTGCTATACAGTGTAAAATTCTTAATTCTTCCACTGGGTATATTAGTACTTCGGCAATTCTGTGCTTCAGAACTTCAACACTTCGGCAATTCAGCTATTCGGACATTCGGAAGTATCCAAATGTTCGAATTTCCCGAAATTCGTCCGAATTAACATTCGGAACAAAACGAATTGCACATGTCTACTGTGTTTCAATAGGAGAAAGCAGTATTCCGTAGACCGAGGTTACGGAGGATGAGAATAAACTGTTGATGATCAACAAAAGCAGCAGAAAGGTCAAGGAGAGTTAGGATAGAATAATAGCCGCGGGATTTAGCAGCGATTAAAGGCACACTATAGTCACCTAAATTACTTTAGCTAAATAAAGCAGTTTCACTGCTCAATTCACTGTCATTTAGGAGTTAAATCACTTTGTTTCTGTTTATGTAGCCCTAGCCACACCTCCCCTGGCTATGATTGACAGAACCTGCATGAAAAAAAAAAACTGGTTTCACTTTCAAACAGATGTAATTTACCTTAAATAATTGTATCTCAATCTCTAAATTGAACTTTAATCACATACAGGAGGCTCTTGCAGGGTCTAGCAAGCTATTAACATAGCAGGGGATAAGAAAATCTTAATTAAACAGAACTTGCAATAAAGAAAGCCTAAATAGGGCTCTCTTTACAGGAAGTGTTTATGGAAGGCTGTGCAAGTCACATGCAGGGAGGTGTGACTAGGGTTCATAAACAAAGGAATTTAACTCCTAAATGGCAGAGGATTGAGCCAGGGCCGTCTTTAATATTAATTGGGCCCTGGGCAAGCATTTGCTTGGGCCCCCTGGACCCACTCCCTGGCATGCAATCACGCCTCCACCCAAACGCAGTGGGCGAACTAAAGAAGAAAGAGCCCTGGTGCAAGAATTTAATTTGGACCCCCAATTGCAAGGTTGGAAAGAAGGTAGAACCCTATCTGTCGTGCAACTCCAACAATGCATTGACAGCTGGGGCTCTACCCATTTCCCATGCTTGCAGGGTTGTATGTAGCAGATAAACACACAGACACATACAGATACACAGATAGATAAACTGAGACATACTGACACACATAAATACATACAATGATAGACATACTGACACACACACTGACACAAACTGTCACACAGGCACATACGATGACAAACATACTGACACATAGATACATATACTGACACACACACAGGCACAAACACTGATAGACATACTGACACACACACACACACAGGCACATATACAGACATACTAACAAACACACAGTATCTCTATCAGCGTATGCGGCTGTGTGTGTGTCAGTATGTCTGTATATGTGCCAGTGTGTGTGTCAGTATATCTATCAGTATATGTGCCTTTGTGTGTGTGTGTGTGTGTCAGTATGTCTGTATATGTGCGTGTGTGTGTCAGTATGTCTATCAGTGTGTGTGTCAGAATGTCTGTCAGTGTATGTATCTGTGTGTCAGTATGTTTGTCATTGTAGGTGCCTGTGTGTGTCAGTATGTCTATCAGTGTGCCTGTGTCAGTATGTATATCAGTGTATGTGCCTGACACACACACACACACACACACACACAACAGGTGCACATACACTGGCAGACATACTGACACACACAGACACATACACTGATAGACATACTGACACACAGGCACATACACTGGCAGACATACTGACACACTGATAGACATACTGACACACAGATACATACACTGACAGACATGCTGACACACACACACAAATAGGCATACTGTCACACACACGGGATACATACACTGTCAGACATACTGACATACACACACACACATACACTATCAGACATACTGACATACACACAGACATACTGACACACACAGACACACTATCAGACATACTGACACACACACATACACTATCAGACATGCTGGCACACACACACACACACACACACACTATCTGACACACACAGATACATGGACAGACAAACTGACATACATGTAAAATTTACATTTTAAGCCCACCCTCCAGTTTCCTACCTTTTGCTGGAGAGTGGCATCCCTGGGATCCAGTGTACTGCCTGAGGATGATGTACGTGAGGAGCCCCCATCCTCACTGCCTCCTCCTCCTCCCTCCCGTGCAGGTCCTTCTTCTCCCGCGCAGCAGCTCTTTATGGGAGGAAGGTACGCTTGGCACTCACTTCCTCACAGCGCTGCCGAAAAGCAAGAGGCCCGGTTGCGCTGTTAAAGGGCCACAGCGCCCGACCGTGCCCCTGCTGGTACAAGCCCACTGGGTAGCCCTAAGTGCATGGGCCACCTGGTTGGACTCCTTACAGTGCGGGGGCCCCCTAAAGCGGCCGGGAAACATTTATTTTATTTTATTTTATTTATTTTTTTAGGGCAGCGGTGCCCACGGGACAGCTGCCTTAGGCGCCCAGGAGTAATTGGGCCCGGGGCAGCTGCCCTGTTTGCCCCGCGTTAAAGACGGCCCTGGATTGAGCAGTGAGGCTGCAGGGGCATGTTCTATACACCAAAACTGCTTCATTAAGCTAAAGTTGTTCAGGTGACTATAGTGTCCCTTTAAGTCGTTGGATACTTTGGTCACAGCTTTTTTGACAGAGTGACGAGCGCGGAATTCAAACTGAAGTTGGTTGATCATAATACACACAGTGTATTATAACTGCAGCTATAAGGTTATGGTGTAAGGAGGTCCCCTGTCTCCCAGCACACAGAGTATTATAACTGCAGCTATAACGTTATGGTGTAAGGAGGTCCCCTGTCTCCCCGCACACAGTGTATTATAACTGCAGCTATAAGGTTATGGTATGAGGAGGTTCCCTGTCTCCCTGCACACAGTGTATTATAACTGCAGCTATCAGGTTACTGTGTAAGGAGGTCCCCTGTCTCTCCGCACACTGTGTATTATAACTGCAGCTATAAGGTTACGGTGTAAGGAGGTCCCCTGTCTCCCCTCACACAGTGTATTATAACTGCAGCTATACGGTTACGGTGTAAGGAGGTCCCCTGTCTCCCCGCACACAGTGTATTATAACTGCAGCTATAAGGCTACAGTGTAAGGAGGTCCCCTGTCTCCCCGCACACAGTGTATTATAACTACAGCTATAAGGCTACGGTGTAAGGAGGTCCCCTGTCTCCCCGCACACAGTGTATTATAACTGCAGCTATAAGATTATGGTGTAAGGAGGTCTCCTGTCTCCCAGCATGCAGTGTATTATAACTGCAGCTATAAGGTTACGGTGTAAGGAGATCCCCTGTAAGGAGGTCCCCCACACAGTGTATTATAACTGCAGCTACAAGGCTATGGTGTAAGGAGGTCCCCTGTCTCCCCACACACAGTGTATTATAACTGCATCTATAAGGTTATGGTGTAAGGAGGTCCCCTGTCTCCCCACACACAGTGTATTATAACTGCAGCTATAAGGTTATGGTGTAAGGAGGTCCCCTGTCTCCCCGCACACAGTGTAATATAACTGCAGCTATAAGGTTATGGTGTAAGGAGGTCCCCTGTCTCCCCACACACAATGTATTATAACTGCAGCTATAAGGTTATGGTGTAAGGAGGTCCCCTGTCTCCCCGCACACAGTGTATTATAACTGCAACTATAAGGTTCCCCTGTCACACACAGTGTATTATAACTGCAGCTATAAGGTTATGGTGTAAGGAGGTCCCCTGTCTCCCACACACAGTGTATTATAACTGCAGCTATAAGGTTATGGTGTAAGGAGGTCCCCTGTCTCCCCACACACAGTGTATTATAACTGCAGCTATAAGGTTATGGTGTAAGGAGGTCCCCTGTCTCCCCACACACAGTGTATTATAACTGCAGCTATAAGGTTATGGTGTAAGGAGGTCCCCTGTCTCCCCGCACACAGTGTATTATAACTGCAGCTATAAGGTTATGGTGTAAGGAGGTCCCCTGTCTCCCCGCACACAGTGTATTATAACTGCAGCTATAAGGTTATGGTGTAAGGAGGTCCCCTGTCTCCCCGCACACAGTGTATTATAACTGCAGCTATAAGGTTATGGTGTAAGGAGGTCCCCTGTCTCCCCACACACAGTGTATTATAACTGCAGCTATAAGGTTATGGTGTAAGGAGGTCCCCTGTCTCTCCCGCACACAGTGTATTATAACTGCAGCTATAAGGTTCCCCCACACACAGTGTATTATAACTGCAGCTATAAGGTTATGGTGTAAGGAGGTCCCCTGTCTCCCACACACAGTGTATTATAACTGCAGCTATAAGGTTATGATGTAAGGAGGCCCCCTGTCTCCCTGCACACAGTGTATTATAACTGCAGCTATAAGGTTATGGTGTAAGGAGGTCCCCTGTCTCCCCACACACAGTGTATTATAACTGCAGCTATAAGGTTATGGTGTAAGGAGGTCCCCTGTCTCCCCGCACACAGTGTATTATAACTGCAGCTATAAGGTTATGGTGTAAGGAGGTCCCCTGTCTCCCCGCACACAGTGTATTATAACTGCAGCTATAAGGTTATGGTGTAAGGAGGTCCTCTGTCTCCCTGCACACAGTGTATTATAACTGCAGCTATAAGGTTATGGTGTAAGGAGGCCCCCTGTCTCCCTGCACACAGTGTATTATAACCGCAGCTATAAGGTTATGGTGTAAGGAGGTCCCCTGTCTCCCCACACACAGTGTATTATAACTGCAGCTATAAGGTTATGGTGTAAGGAGGTCCTCTGTCTCCCCACACACAGTGTATTATAACTGAACTATAAGGTTATGGTGTAAGGATGTCCACTGTCCCTGTCTCTGTGCATAGTGGTGTATAGTTGAAGCTATGTGCAAAATCATATTATAAACAGGTGACCTCACTCACAGACGTCAAATCCTCCCATAATCTCTTTCTTGTGTCATTATTAATGAAGGCGTAGAGGCCGCGTTATCAGTGCAGCACTATTAAGGTGCCAATTCGGTTCATTGTCACTAATATAACAATTACACATATTAAAAGTGAATCAATGCAAATAAAGACCAACATTATTGGTTGTGCTTTTCCAAGTGGAGTGCTCTTACAGTATCCCAGTTATGACGCACAATATTTTGAACTTGTAGATTTAGGAGCAGCAGGTTTTAAGAGAACCAGATCCTGCTGCAAAGACAGCAGCTGGACTCCATGAAATAGTCAGATCCCGGATTCACAATAACCCCTGAGTTTGTTTCATGAGATCTGCTGGTAAATAACGTGTGATTTAAGGCTGAAATAGTGAGATTTTACCTGTTTTGATGTGGAGGGTTTGTTATCGGCCCGCTGGTCGCATTCACTGCTCGGTAACGGGATATTTAAAAAGCATGAAGAGGTTTCTTTTTATAGAAGTCATCCCATCCAGCTGGGCAAGTGGAGTCTGGTGGTGAGTAAATGTCAGAGCCGTTTGTTTATCAGAGGATTCACATATTTACTGAACTAACAGCTTAACACTCGGAAAGTGGAACTGTTACTGCGGAGAGATTAATACAGTCCTATACTTAAGGAAAAGCTATGGCTTGTGCTATAATTTCTCTAAAATACTCAGTAGTTTTCATATAAGATTTATATGGTCGGTCTGGGCCACAGCCAGGGCATGTCATTTAAATCAGGTTAACCCTGGCAGTGCCAGATAAGCGCGTGCATGTTGGATTACCTGAGTGTGCATGCGCTCACATGCCCCAATATATTTGAAAGCATCCAGAGCATCCCGTGAAGAGGATGTTGCCCTGCAGACGGCATGCTTTCTGAAGGAAATTTTAATATTTACCTCAGTCACACTATTTACCCCCAATTGTAATGTCCTGTACAGCAGCTACAGCGACACTTTATGCAGCACTGGGTGAGGAGCATACACTAATCACAGTGAGAGGAGGAAAACAATTCTGAGGCAACATTCTAAAAGTACCTTAACCTTCCATTGGTTTCCATGGTTACTGCTCATTTATTTAAAAGACCTAACTCGTGTACACAATATGGGATGTAGTCATACCAGATGGCTATATTGTGTTTTTTCCCCAGAGTACCCCAATTAACTAATTTACACTAGCAGTGCCGGATTAGCATAGGGGTTAACGGGGCTGCCGTTCCATGGCCCATGTCTCTTTAAAATGGTTTAAGTACTTACTGTAAATAATAAGGAACTGCCCGTTTCCATGCAGCCATGCCTGTTGCCTTGCAACCGTATAGGAGGAAACACACGGCAGGAGAAATCCTCTAGTCAAATCATCTGATCTCCTTGACCCACTCAGTGTTGACCTTGCAAGGTTAAAAGCAGTATATACCCCCTTTAGGTCTTCATCCCGTCTGGCCCTTTCTAAATCTGTGGCTGGTATATGACATCACACGCTACCCAGCCCTCTGTGCCATCATGTATGTCTGGAGGGACATGGGCCGTGCCCGCAGGAGGGACACTACTCTTTCACACATTGGCCCACCAACACAGGGTGAGAACTAATATACATTTCACATGGAAAAAAAAGGATACTATAGTCACCAAAACATATTTAGCTTAATTAAGCAGTTTTGGTGTATAGATCATCCCTCTGCAGTCTTACTGCTCACTTCTTTGCCATTTAGTTTATGCAGCCCTGTTCACACCTCCCTGCTTGTAACTTGCACAGCCTTCCTAAACACTCCCCGTAAAGAGTCATCTAATGTTTACACTTCCTTTATTGCAAATTCTGTTTCATTTAGAATTTCTTATCTTCTAGACCATGCAGGAGCCTCTTGTAAATATTTGATTAAAGTTCAAATTACAGAGCAGTAGACACAAATGTTACATCTGATTGAAAATGATACCAATTTGTTTTCACGCAGGCTGTCTCATTCACAGCTGGGGGAGCTGTGGCTAGGGCTGCAGAAACAGAAACAAAAGTGGTTTAACTCCTAAATGGCAGAGGATTAAGCAGTGAAAATCCAGAGGTATGATCTATATACATGTTCTTCAATAAGCTAAAGTTGTTTTGCTGACTATAGTGTCCATTTAATTTTAGGGTGTGACCAGGGATGGGGCAGTTCTAAATGGGAGTTGGGGTGTGGCCATGGGGGCGGGGCTCTTCTTAGTGTGGTCAGGGGACATTGCTGTTCTGATATGTTTTTTTGCGAGGTAATAACGTACAACTAAGGGTATTTACACAGACTGACAGACCTAGCTTTGAGATGGTGTTTCTGACTGCGGGAGACCAGAATTGGCAGAAGTTCCGAGTATGCCAGAGATTCCCAATATACGGACTTAACGTGCTTTCATTATTACTTGGCATAATTCCTATCGCAATAAACATATTCTTATGGTTTCACACTTGCCAGTTCCCTAGTCTTCTATTGCAGGTTGAAGAGACTCTTAAAGGAGAAAGGACTCTGGGCAAAACATGCCACCTGTTTTACTGCCACTGTAAATGTTCAACTGTTTATTCCGAGAGTTGACTGACTGGTGAAAAAACATGAATTGGATTTAAATGATTGATTTTTTTTATCACTTGTTCGATACTTTTCAATATATACCGGTTTTGTGTTTAAGGGCATTTGTAAAAGATTGAAAGGTTTTCTCAAGTTGTAACAAGTCCTGCAGGACTACTAATGGGAACAGCGTTCCTCCTGTGGAAAGAGTGCAGGAACGCCGTTCCAACGCGTTCCTGCAGGACTCGAGCCCTGTCTTAGAGTTAGGGATGGAGTTAGGGTTACACTTGGTGTTGGGGTAAGGTAAGGGTTACTGCTGTGTAAGGATTAAGGATAGTGTATAGTTGAATTTAAGGATAAGATTAGGGTAGGTATACAGTTAGAGTCAGTGTAAGCATTGGTAAGGTGTATGTTTAGTATAGCGTTAGTGTGGGGGCTGCTATAGGATTAATGTTAACTATCAAATATTAATTTAGATCCTAAACATATTAGGCATTTAACAATTAGGACTGATACACAAATCTGTTTTGAGTTCTTTTTAACCCCTTACTGACCAGACCGTTTTTCAATTTTCTTACTGTTAAGGACCAGAGCTGTTTTTACATGTCTGCTGCGTTTGTGTTTAGCTGTCATTTTCCTCTTACTCAATTACTGTACTATTCACACATTTATATACTGTTTTTCTCGCCATTAAATTAAAGATACCATTATTTTCATCATATATTTTACTATATAAAATATGATGAAAAAAGTTTTAAAAAGCACTTTTTCTAACTTTGACCCTCAAAATCTGTTACACATCTACAATCGCAAAAAAACACCCGTGCTAAATAGTTTCTAAATTTTATCCTGAGTTTAGAAATACCCAATGTTAACATGTTCTTGGCTTTTTTTTGCAAGTTATAGGGCTATAAATACAAGTTGGACATTGCTGTTTCAAAAATATATATTTTAAAAATGTATTAATAGTGACATTGTAACATTATTATCTGTCATAAATCTCGGAATCACACCTCACATTTTATTTTTTTTATTTTTTTTAAAGTGAAGTAGACAACCCATGGTATTCAATATGGGGTATGTCCAGTCTTTTTTAGTAGCCACTTAGTCACTGGCCAAAGTTATAATTTATATTTGTTTGTGTGTTAAAAATTAAAAAAACAATTATGAACGCTAACTTTGGCCACTACTTGTGACTAAGTGGCTAATAAAAAAGACTGAACATACCCCATTTGCAATGCCATGGGTTGTCTTCTTTTGCAATTGGTATACCATCATGGGGGTAATTCTCATTCCTGGGCTACCATACACTCTCAAAGGCAACATAACCAATCTGACAAATTTCAATGTGAAAAAAACAGAAAAGCAAGCCTTATATTTGACTCTGTAACTTTCAAAAACACTAAAACCTGTACATGGTTTTTTTTGTTATACTCGGGAGACTTCGCTGAACACAAATATTAGTGTTTCAAAACAGTAAAACATATCACAACAATATCATCAGTGAAAGTGCCATTTATGTGTGAAAAATGCAAAAACCTTCACTTTTACTGACAATATCATCTCTGTGATATGTTTTAATGTTTTGAAACACTAATAATTGTGTTCAGTGAAGTCTCCCGAGTAAAACCGTACCCCCCCATGTACAGGTTTTAGGGTGTCTTGGAAAGTTACAGGGTTAAATACAGTGCTAGCAAATTAAATTCTCTGGACTTTGTGCCTGGGTTGTCAGGCAGGTCCCTCAAATTGCAATCAGTAAAATTACTTAATTATGTAAAAATATTACAGAAATATGCACGTAGAATTTTAATATATACATATTTATATATTTGAAGTCTACGTGTATATCTCTCTCTATATATATATATATATATATATATATATATATATATATATATATATATATATATATATATATATATATATATATATATATATATATATATCTATCTAAAAAAGAAAAAAGGAAAGCCAAGATATAAATATGAGGCACGAATATGGGTAGAAAAAAATGGGGGGTAACCCCTAAATGGTGAATTTATATGAATACAGAAAAGCAAAGAAAAAATTACCATAAAGGGTCTCAACATTTTGGTAAATATAGTCACTTTATAATGGATATATTAAAATGGAAAATAGAAAAGATAAAAGCAAAACAAAAAGCACAAGGCTACAAAATAATATGTCCTATAAACTAGTAGGGGGATTAAACTTCCAATAGAACCAATAGCAAGAGAAGTGTTGCTTAAAAGAAATACTTATTGGTGTAAAGTAAGACTACTTGCTATGAACAATGTAACTGTATTCTAAATAGGGAAGTGGGATACTAGTATCTTCTAAACTCCTCCTGCAGAACAGGGTCGGTTGAATATAGATGAAATGCCTCTAGTGCACAAGGGGTTAAACAGCACAACAGTTGGTTGCAATGGTTAATAGAAAAGAGGCAGGGAATACCTGTAAAATAAAGAGGTATAAATACCTCTTAAATAAATACCTTATACCTCTTTATTTTACAGGTATTCCCCACCTCTCTTCTATTAACCATTGCAACCAACTGTTGTGCTGTTTAACCCCTTGTTATAATTATATAAATATACACGTAGACTTCAAATATATAAATATGCCTATATATTTAAATTCTATGTGCGTATTTATGTACTATTTTTACATAATTCAGTAATTTTATTAATTACAATTTGCAGGACCTTCCTGCCAACCCAGGCCGAAATTCCAGAGAATTTAATTTGCTAGCACTGTATTTTACCCTGTAACGTTCTATGACACCCTAAAACCAGTACAAGGGGGGGTACTGTTTTTCTCAGGAGACTTCGCTGAACACAAATATTAGTGATTCAAAACAGTAAAACATATCACAGCGATGATATTGTCATTGAAAGTGACTTTTTTTGCATTTTTCACACACAAACAGCACTTTTACTGATATAATTGTTGTGATACGTTTTTGAAACACTAATATTTGTGTTCAGCAAAGTCTCCTGAGTATAACAGTACCCCCCATGTACAGGTTTCATAGCATTTTTGAAAGTTACAGGGTCAAATAGTTTTACATTGAAAATGGCCAGGTTGGTTACGTTGCCTTTGAGAGCGTATGGTAGCCCAGGAATGAGAATTACCCCCATGATGGCATACCATTTGCAAAAGAAGACAATCCAAGGTATTGCAAATGGGGTATGTCCAGTCTTTTTTAGTAACCACTTAGTCACAAACACTGGCCAAAAATAGTGTTCAATTTAGTTTTTTACTTTTTTTCACACACAAACAAATATGAACGCTAACTTTGGCCAATGTTTGTGACTAAGTGGCTACTAAAAATGTCTGGACATACCCCATATTGAATACCCTGAGTTGTCTACTTTAAAAAAAATATGTACATGTGGGGTGTTATTCAGAGATTTCTGACAGATAATAGTGTTACAATGTCACTATTGATACCTTTTAAAAATGTATGTTTTGAAACCGCAATATCCTAATTGTACTTATAGCCCTATAACATGCAAATAAATAGCAAAAAAGCATGTAAACACTGGGTATTTTTAAACTCAGGACAAAATTTTGAATCTATTTAGCAGTTTTTTTCATTCTCTTTTGTAGACGAGTAAAAGATTTTTCAAGTAAAAGTCAAAAAACATGTATTTTTTTCAATTTTCCATCATATTTATTTTTATTTTTTTTAAATTAAAATACATGAGATTATATAAATAATGGTATGTAAAGAAAGCCCCTTTTGTCCTGAAAAAAACAATATATAATTTGTATGGGAACAGTAAATGAGAGAGAGGAAAATTACAGCTAAACACAAACACAAAAAATATGCCTGGTCGCAAATGTACAACATCGCAAAAACAGTCCCTTAAGGGGTTAAATCACAGTGGAACAAACCAATAGCTCAAATTCTAGGTTTTGTTTTGGTTTAGAACATGGACAACTGCCTCCATTTAGGGGTTAAAAAGTTGCTGATCCTGTAGCTGCAGTACAGTTTTAGCGGATTCATGTTTCTCTTGAATAATGCTTGATGACTCTTGTTTCATAAATGTTTCTTTGCTGTATGTATGTACGTTTTTGGAACATTACACAAGGCCAGAGCTCATAACTTCCACTCGACACTAAGTTGTGAGTGACAATTTAGCCCTGGTAGATATTCACCCCTGGTGAGCATACACCAGCTTGAAGGGAGGGGTAACTTAAGGCCTGGCTAGTAGCATAGCACTTTAACTTTTCACCCCTTCACTAGGCTATAAATAAAATGCAAAAAGAATAAAACAAACTTTAACTTTCAGCCAATCAGTGTTCTTACACAGCAATTGAAATAATGTATAGATTTACCATGTTAAAAAGATGAAGCTCTCGTTTATTTTGTTCCAAATGATGCATTTAATGGAGCTATTAAGACTAGCATGTAATCTCTACCAATGGAACTCATTAAACCTGTATTAATCCCATCAATCTGTCATTGTCACACAGGCGATGCCCAGCCTTGGTCTGTCTGTAGTTGCCTTTTTAGCCTCTATAGATGTACGAGCTGTGTAATATTTTCTCCTTAGAAGGAAATCCATATCCATTTGGCCAAAACAAGTTCTCTTTCTGATGAAAATGTTTTATTTCTCTTCGTATTCTCAAATTATTCGATGATATCTAGAAGGTAATGGGTCAAAGACCATACTTTGAATTATTATACATTCTCTGCTTAGAATTACTCTAAATGTTATGCTATGAATTCTGTTGTATCATTTGTATAATGTGTGTGCCTCTAATTACTCTAAATGTTATGCTTCTAATTACTGAAATAAGAGAAATCACGGAATTAAAGCCACAGGCAGATTTATTGGATCAAAAAAGCAAAGCAACGTTTCAACCTGCTAAATAATAAACACCTCACAGTAGGTCGAAACGTTGCTTTGCCTTTTTGATCCAATAAATCTGCCTGTGGCTTTTATTCCGTGAGTGCCTGAAGATTTTTCCTGTTTCCTGTTATACTTGTATTGGATTTGATGGTCCTGCTTCAGTGCGTCTGGTTTTAAGTGGATTTGAGTGCAGTTCCTTTTATCTGTTTCACATGCTTCTAATTACTATGAAATCTATTGTATTATTGATATCATGTGTGCCTTTAATTACTATAAATGTTTTGCTTCTAATTACTATAAATGTTACTTTTCTAATTGCTAAAATGTTATTTTTTTTGAATTACTATAAATGCTATGCTTCTAATTACTATACACACACATTGTATATGACGTGTCTTGGAGGCATTAAAGAAGTATCTGTGTCTCCCTTGGTGATGTGAATCACATACTTCTGACCATACTCCTGCCACATCTTAAACAAGAGCTCTTGCAATAGGTGAAGGTGATTATTCCAAAATATGAGAGTCTTCTCACCTTCACTTTGTTCTGTAACATCAGGTAATTTTGTGCCTGGCTCTGCTGTTGGTTCAGTCACCTCTGGGGCATCATCTTGTGTCTGTTCTAAAGAAGGTTCTGTTGGACCAGGCTCTGGATTTGTAACTGGAGCTTCACCTTCAGTGACTTCCGCTACTTCCCCTGTGGCAGGTTCTCCAACCACTTAATCGAGAAAACATAAGGGTTGTCAAATTAGCATCCAATTAGCCCTCCAAACTGGAGACCAGCTAGCTGCTAGAGTTTAATGTAAAACATGACATTAACTCAAGGTCAGGCTTCAATGTGCCCCAAGCACAGATAATCATATACAGACACTCACAATAGAGGGAATACACATTAACACTAACAATGTGATAGAGGGAATACAGAGTAACACTAACAATGTAACATAGGTAATATACAGAAAAACTAACAATGTGACAGACTGAATACACAGTAACACTAACAATGTGATAGAGGGAATACAGAGTAACACTAACAATGTAATAGAGGGAATACAGAGTAACACTAACAATGAGACAGAGGTAATACAGAGTAACACTAACAATGTGATAGGGGGAATACAGAGTAACACTAACAATGTAACATAGGTAATATACAGAAACACTAAATGTGACAGAGGGAATACAGAGTAACACCAACAATGAGACACAGGGAATACAGAGTAACACTAACAATATAATAGAGGGAATACAGAGTAACACTAACAATGTAACATAGGTAATATACAGAAACACTAACAATGTGACAGAGGGAATACAGAGTAACACCAACAATGAGACACAGGGAATACAGAGTAACACCAACAATGAGACACAGGGAATACAGAGTAACACTAACAATATAATAGAGGGAATACAGAGTAACACTAACAATGAGACAGAGGGAATACAAAGTAACACTAACAATGTAATAGGGGGAATACACAGTAACACTAGCAATGTGACAGAGGGAATACACAGTAACACTAACAATGTGATAGGGGGAATACACAGTAACACTAGCAATGTGACAGAGGGAATACAGAGTAACACTAACAATGTGACAGAGGGAATACAGAGTAACACTAACAATGAGACAGAGGGAATACAGAGTAACACCAACAATGTGACAGAGGGAATACAGAATAACACTAACAATGTGATAAAGGGAACACAGAGTAACACTAACAATGTGACAGAGGGAATACAGAATAACACTAACAATGTGATAAAGGTAACACAGAGTAACACTAACAATGAGACAGAGGGAATACACAGTAACACTAACAATGGGACAGAGGGAATACAGAGTAACACTAACAATGTGATAAAGGGAATACAGAGTAACACTAACAATGAGACAGAGGGAATACACAGTGACACTAACAATGTGACAGAGGGAATACAGAGTAAAACACTAACAATGTAATAGAGGGAATGCACAGTAACACTAACAATGTGACAAAGTGAATACACAGTAACACTAACAAAGTAACAGAGTGTTACAGAGTTTTGAGAGTGAGCCACTGATTAAAAACATGTAGGTTGCAGTTGATTAATATGATTATGCCATGTGACCCCCTCACAGTTCGTCTGGCCCAGCTCCTCACTTTATCTATGTACTCACCTGGCGCAGGGGGTTGCACCACTTCATTGGGCGACCACAGAGACTGGCTACATATTTTCTCTGCTCTCCATTTGGTGACTGGCACTGCCAGTGGCTCCTCTTCATCCTCCTCCTCTTCCTTCTCCTTAAATATCATTTAAAAAAAAGCACGTTAGTGAAATATAGTCTGCTGCCAAGGATGTCCATTAATGTATTAATACAGAGTAGTTTATGTTGTGTATTCTGGCAGGGCACAATATGTGAGCTATACAGCTATGGCTTTTCTGTAAACTGATGAAGACATTCTCTGTGGATCCAGACTGAGCACCGACAGGTGGGAGATGCATAAACACTGCCTCACGTGCGACTACAGGGGAACATTCACTAAACAGTGCATTGTGGCAAGCCGAAAACCAAGTTGGAAAAATTTATGCCCAGACAGGCAAGTGTGTCTAGTAATTTTTCTTTTGCATTTACAAACAAAATATGAATATGCATCAGTCTTAACATGCATCTACACACAGCACTCCCAGCCATGCATTCTTACACATGTCACTCTCAGCCATGCATTTATGAGCCTGTTCACAGCAAACCATGCCAATGAGAACCTGGCCAGGACTGGCCTCCATTAGCACAAATGCCTCAATAATGGGAGGATTCTTGTGTATGGTGATGGATCGGCCTCCGGTTCTACCCTGGATGCTTGTCCTGGGAGGAGGTAACTGCGCAAACCAATTTACAGAGATTATTATTTATCATATGTTACAGATAGCATCAAGAACCAGAGAACAGGGAGCCACGCTTTCTATATAATTATAGAAAAGCGACTTAGACCAATACAATGCTATCTAAAAAAAGTGTCTTCTCTACCAGGTGAGTTATCAAATCTCCAGTTTTTTACTTCCTATAAAAGAATCGAGGTCAAATACTGAGTCCATATGGACTAGAAGTGTAAACATCTATCTGCAGGTCACTAATCATGAATAAATGAAATACAGGTCCAATATATATGCTATTAAATAACCAACAGAGCAGAACCCATCCGATGTATCAGTATACATGTCACATCATGGGTAGGAGACAATCAGTTATTCACAGTAAAATACCAGAGGGATGCTTCCAGAAACAGTATATAACTACTCTGGCTTTGAAGGACATCTCATGACCTTACTTGCACTGTGAGTTTTGTCTTCACATGTTCTTTCACCATGATTTACATCCCAAGAAGAGGCATGCAAAGAATAAATGAATATGAGCAAGTCCCTTTACTCTGCCTCCGTTTTCCCCTGAAAAAGGGAAAAAAGGAGGCAGAGGCTGGGTGCCGGATAAAGTTTAATATCAAACCATGAAAGAAGTGTTTCATGTAAACCGGAGCTATTCTCAGACCCAGCCACTGACCCCAGGTTATCGACATTAATGGTGAAAATGTCTCCTAAGCTTGACAGCTTTGACTGGCCGAGAGTGCTGGGGTGTATGGGGTATGGGAGGTTGGATGAAACTGACATTGATAATGAGGAAGTAGTAATTCTGTATTATCACAGTTGTAGAATTATAGGCAGGTATATAAAAATATTCCTTTAAAAAAATTGATATTAAACTGGGGGACAGTGCCAGGGCACGCTAGCCAAGCCAGCTGTGGAGGTTTTAATAATTTTCATTTAGGTTTAATCAGGAATAGAGGAATAGGAGCTCCTGTGTACCAGTATTGCTGATATCAAGCAGACCAGATGGCTTTCACTGGCAACAGACCTGCATTAAGCTGATTGCTTAGTATTAGTAAATTTTGCCCTACTCGCTATACCGCGAGTAGGGGCATGTCAATTAAACAGTGAGAGCGCAAAAAAAGCACACAAAAATAAAATAAAAAAATAAAAATCCATCTTCACCCATGGAGGGCTCCGCGCAGACAGAGCTCTGAAGGGCGGGGAAAGGCTTATAAAACCTTGCCCCGCCCTGCAATTAGGCTCAGAGCACTCTGGTTGGTGGGTTTAAGCCATCCAATCAGAGTTCTCTGACAGGTAAATGAAGAGACTGACAGGTAAGTCTCTACATTTACCTGCCACAGCACTCTGATTGGTTAGCTTGAAATCCAGCCAATCAGAGTACTCTGTGTCATTTTACACAGCATGGGAAAGTTCTTTGGAATTTTCCCACGCTGTGTAATTTGACTCATAACAATACTCTGATTGGTGGATTGAAAGTAACCAGAGAGTTATGAGTCAAATTACACAACGTGGAGGGGGGTGACTAGTGGTTTGGGGACCCCTAGTCACCTGGGATGGGGAAGGGAGTTAAATGATTATTTAAGGCCCCCATCCGTCGCTCAGGGGTGGGGGTGAGGGTGGGGGGAGGACAATAGGTCCCACCCCTTATTTTAACTTAGGGCCCCCCCCCCCGCCTCTCAGGGGTGGGGGCCGGACAATAGGTCCCCCCTTATTCTTCTTTAGGGCCCCCACCTGCCATTCAGGGGTGGGAAATGTTTTTTTTTTTTACAGGGAGCAGCCTGTTTAATAGACATGCCCCTATTCGCGGTATAGCAAATAGGGGCAAAATTTACTTATACTAAGTATTAGTAAATTTGGCTGAAAAATCAATTTAGGTCTTTCAACCTTTTAGTAGATAGCTCCCTAATACCATGGGAATTAGGGAGTTATCTACTTATTCATTTCTGTCATTCCATTGACAGGCTAAGTAACTTACATTTTATATGAATGTGTGTTACTTGATTGTTGTAAGTGTTGCAAATGCTTACAGCTGAATCCTGGCTATGTTTGTATACTTTTTATTTAAAATTGTATACAGTGTAACATTCTTCCACTGGGTAGGAATATTAATACTTCGGCAATACTGTGCTTCGGCACTTCAGCAATTCAGCTATTTGGACATTCGGATGAATCCGAATGGCCGAATTGCCCGAAATACGTCCGAATTCACATTCGGAAAGAAACGAATTGCAAATGTCTACTATTCACTCTCGTTAGAAGGGGATGGTACTTCGATACATTTCTTGAAACAGTTTCTTTGTTTCTTAATGGCAGTCTCCACAGGGTTTTTTTACTGAGGTACATTCCAATAAATCTTGAAATCTTCTAATGAGGTGGTGTATAAACTTTTCTTTAGATATTTAGTAGACATACCTTTTGACATTTGTCCTTGCACCTAAAAAAAGGAATTTTCCTAGTATATTGGCATTGGTTATGTGATGGTATGATCTTTTAGAGAATTTCTTCCCTAATTCTAATATTTTGCAAATCTATCCAGATTAATCTAAATTGTAGATTTGGGATTTTTACCTTGAATTTGTATGCTCTATTTTTAAAGGGTCATCCAACAACGTTGGCTCCTTCTCTTTGGAACACAATCTAAACTGAAATTCTGTACATATTATGTACTCTATAAATCAAGACACAAATGAATTTAGTTTGAATTACTTTTCCTAAACTGGACATATTGTGCACACATAATTATTGCCAAAAAAAATTTCTCTTGATGTTTTAGCATTTTTATTTTTTATAATAAATTAGAATTTATATATGTATATATCAGATCAAATTAAATCCCTTTTTGGATTGTGTTAGTGCATTAAATAAGAAAAATGCAAATTGCGGTTGAACACAAACAGCAAAAAATTTCTTGTGTCCTTAAGGGGTAAATCTCAATACTGGATATTATAATTCAATTCAAAGATAAAGAGATTAGCTAATATTACCTTCTCGACCTGCACATACGAGCCTTGCTGCTCGCACCCTATGTCAAACACGTACTTCCCGGGTCCAAGGAGCTAGAAGCAAAATAAAAATGATAAAAACAAAAAAACAGAACAGGGTATGTGCATATATTATGATCACTGGTATTTATATAGCGCCAGCATATTCTGGAATGCTTTACAATATATTATAAGCATTACTCACACCATACTCATACAGCATGTACACACATTACTCATACAGTGCATACACACACACACACACACACACATTACTCATACAGTGCATACACACACACACACACACTACTCATACAGTGCATACACACACACACACACACACACACACATTACTCATACAGTGCATACACACACGTTAGTCACACTATACTCATGCAGTGCATAAAAAAACATTAGTCACACTATACTCATACAGTGCATACACACACATTAGTCACACTATACTCATACAGTGCATACACACATTAGTCACACTATACTCATACAGTGCATACACATACACACACACACATTAGTCACACTATACTCATACAGTGCATACACACACACACTAGTCACACTATACTCATACAGTGCATACACACATTAGTCACACTATACTCATACAGTGCATACACATACACACACACACACTAGTCACACTATACTCATACAGTGCATACACACACACACACACGTCACACTATACTCATACAGTGCATACACACACTAGTCACACTATACTCATACAGTGCATACACACACGTCACACTATACTCATACGGTGCATACACACACACACACACACACACTATACTCAAAAATCACATATACACATTACTCACACTATACTCGTACAGTGCATACACACACACACGTCACACTATACTCATACAGTGCATACACACACACACGTCACACTATACTCATACAGTGCATACACACACACACGTCACTATACTCATACAGTGCATACACACACACACGTCACACTATACTCATACAGTGCATACACACACACACACACACACTACTCACACTATACTCATACAGTGCATACACACACACACACATTACTCATACAGCACATACAAACACATTACTCACACTATACTCATACAGTACACACACACACACATTACTCACACTATACTCATACAGTGCATACACACACACACACACACATTACTCATACAGCACATACACACACACTATACTCATACAGTGTATACACACTATACTCATACAGTGTATACACACACTATACTCATACAGTGTATACACACACTATACTCATACAGTGTATACACACACTATACTCATACAGTGTATACACACACTACTCACACTATACTCATACATCACATACACCTTGCTGACACAGTACTTACAGTATTGCTGGAAAACTTCCCCAGGTAACGGTGGTTTAAGTGGACAAGTTCTCCAGCTCCATCTTGTTTACCACTGGCCCAGGTGCCAACATACTTAGACCCAGTGTCAGCATATGTGTAAACACCTTGTCCATGTCTGAGTAAAGATACACAAAATAAAGATAGTTCTAAACACTGAGGCAACCATGAACTCTGTAAGCTCTGCTCTGACCTTTAACCTGTATAAACCTGGTGAAGTCCATCTATTGAAACAACATTTGTTATCAGGACATAACTGGAGAAATTATAGGGAAAGATGAGATGCAAACAGATTACATATTCCACTGATTTCCATGACGACTGGCCTACATTTATCAGTTTGCCCCAGAAATGTTCCAGTTTTGTTCTAACAAACACAACACTATATAGTATGATATGTGGCTCCTGTCCACACTGTAAATAACACAGACTTGGATACCTTTGGTGAGAATACC